TACTTCAGTAACACAGTATCTGCATGCCCCAGGCCCAGTATTGCAGTATCACCCTCGCGGCAGAGAGGTATTTGCGCCACCGATACTAACTCCGCCGTCACAGGGACACGGATTGAAGATCCCTCACACCAAGATCGTGCAGGGCGGGGACACACGTCCCTAAATCCCATCTCGTCTCAGAGTTTGACCGTTTTCTTTATTTATTTATTACATCGGCTAAGTCGGCCGGACGGCCTGGGCCAAGTCCCAAGCGTGAAGCGAGAGGCTCCCACCGTGATCATAGATCAAAACACGCGTACAACGATATACGGCGCAGCCCCCAAATTTTCTTCGCCTGCGGCGGGCGATCGATCCTCCTCATGCTCTCAGCAATCGCCGCCTCAGCATCCTCCTCTTCCCACTTCCGATTCTCGTTGCTGCTTCTTGAGCGGAATCTTCGGCGACTTCTAGCCAAAGCCCAAACAGTTCTCACAAATAGCCTCAAGCTCAAACAAACGCATGTCAGAGAAGCCTGTGTATGCTGGTCCTCTTTGAACGATCCGCGCGTGAGGTAGCATAGGGCCTTGTTGGCAGCAGCCAGCTTGTTGCGCTGCTTCGTTGCGATGAGCTGATTGGGATCGCAGAAGTGCATGCCAAAGGCAAAGCACCGCCACAATCTTGAAGCAGAACACATTGCAACCGCATCGTCCGCACTGCCATCGGCATGCCGCGCCCGCCGCTTCGCCGCAGCCGCCTTAAGGCACGCATAGCGGCAGCACATGGTACGTTGCGCGTACTTGAGCAGAGTTGCGCGCCGCAAGTAGCGCACTGGCCCTGGGAGAAGCGAGAAGGCGATATGGCGTCGTGCGCGGCATACGTTGGACGCGTCCTCCAGGACCAAGGTATTTTTCGGGTAAACCGGAAGGCTTTTCAGGTATACCCGGTTTTACCCGGAGTTGGCCTTATGTCGTCTAAGTTCATGGGGCCCCCGACCATACAGCGTCTAAGTCTGAGCCCGGCTCCGTGCGGGGGCTAAGTTGAGCGCTCGCGCTCGCTGTGGCCTGTGGCCTGTGTGCAGAGCCCGTCTGGCAGAGCCCGTCTGGCAGAGGAGGAGGCTGCGCTGCGCAAGCACGGGCGGGAGGGGCTTCTCCTGCGGAGTCGTGCGTGCGCAGGGCTCCTCTTTGCTTTCTTCTACTCCCTACTATCATCTCGTTCCCGTCCTACCAGAGAAGAGCCTCTGCCAGAGGCTATAAGTGTGTATAGACGCGACCCTCTCTAGCCCTACTACCCAACCATTGCGTACAGTTTGTGGCCCGGGCCATCTCTCTCGGCGCCATGTACCTTTTCCCTTAACACACAGCACACATGACAACCCGCACACAACGAACGTGACGCGTCCAAGATCCTACTTCCTAGAGCGTGTATGTCCTGCAGCCTTTTCGCCTCGGTCTCACATCGCCAGCAGCCGCTCGAAAAAGTCACCGGGCAGCTCCCCCTTGGAGGACGGCTGGTCCGACGGGAGAGGGTCCGCGGAGGCGGGCGGTGGGCGGGGCGGCGGCTCCACGAACGAGACCGCCTTGGTGGTGGTTGTCGCTGGCCGCACCCTCCAGGGCGGCACGTCTCCATCCGGGTGAGGCGGCGCCACCCGAGGAGGCGGCGGCGCGTAGGGCTTGCGCTTGGGCGGCGCGCCGGCGAGCGATGCCGCCTAGCAGCAAGGAGGCCGGGTCGTGGCGTGGGGGCGGGGAAAGCGCGTGCGGCATGGGGAGGGCAGGGTAGAGGCAGAGGCAGGGGGAGGGGGGGCACCGTGGCTGCGGCCTCGTCGCGCCGCAGCTCGTCGCGAGGGAGGGGAGGCGGCCAGCCGAGGTGGGCCTGCAGCTGGTTGGGGTGGCCCTCGAGGGCCGCCGCGAGCGCGTCTCTCCCCGCGGGCGTGTGCTCGTTCTCGTGCACGTACAGGTACTCGCCTTTCGGCAGCTTGCCGCCCGCCGCAGCGCGGCCGAGAGCGAGGAGCGTAGCGTCTCCGAGACGGTTGTGCTGAAGGGCGAGTCGCGCCAGCCGAGGGCAGGCGCCACCCTCCACCGCCTCGGCGATCGCCACCCCGCCCTCGTCTCCGATCTCGTTCCCCGACAGGTAGAGCCACTCCAGCTGCGGAGTAGCGCCCGCCAGCGCCGCCGCAAGCGAGGCGGCGCCGCAGTCCGTGATGCCGTTCTCCTGCAGCGCGAGCCGGCGGAGCGGCACGCCGCCGGTGCGCGCGAGCCCGGCAAACGCACTCATCGCGCCGTCGCCCGCGCCGTTCTGCATCGCAAAGAGCGACTCGAGTGCCGGCAGCGCCGGGAGCGCCGCAACCACCGCGGCCAGGCCATCGGCACAGAGGCTGCACCGATGCAGGTGCAGCTCCGTCAGCTGCGCAGGCCGCAGCGTGCGCATCGCTGAGCTAAGACCCAAGGCGTCGCACGCGTCAATGGCCCGGTCGCCCAGGTCAAAGGCAGCGTCGGTGACAAAGGAGTGACGCGCGTCCCACGCGGGCAGCTCGAGGTACTTCAGGTGCTCCGAGGGGCGCGCAGGCTCGGTGAACTTTGCGAAGAATTCCTCTGCCTGCTCTAAATCCCGTTCGGTGGCCTCCTCGATTGGGGCATCTTCGCTGGGCATTGTTCGCGGTGGGTCTGTTCTTCTTGGGTTTGCGTCCCGACAGATAGGGGGGGGGTGCCCCAGCTTGGGCTTCTTGGCCAATAGGATCCTGCAAGGGGCCCCTATTTTCCGCGTTTTTTCATTGTTTTGCTTCGCTGCGCGTTCTGGGGATAGATAGAAAACAAACATGTAGGTGAAAGAAAGAAAGGTTGGGCGCGTAGTACCGGCGTACGTACCGGCGTGCGGGGCGTTTTGGCGCGAGTCAGTGCCAACAGACCCCTATCAAGCCTGAACCCTGCTTCCTGCCGCGACGCGCGCTAACAAGAAAAACTTTTGGTTTTCTTCTTCTCGTACTCGTATAAGCCCCCCCGATACTCGATAGACTCTCCCGGGGGTGTTCGTCTCTCGAGGTTCTCTCTCTCGAGATTGGGGCATTGCGAGCTGCGTGTTTTCTTCTTTGTTTCCCTTCGAGCATCGTTATCATTTCACATTTGTCTTTTGCACCGCCGCTCGGGTGAACGGGCGTGTGGGAGCACGGGCCTGCGCAACCGCCAACCCCGCCACCGCCAGGGGGAGACGCCTTACGCGAATGTCCGGTGTACGTTTTGTTCTGGGTGTGCACGCGGCTGCCTGCATGTGCACATGACTTTCTCGGCACTTGGAGGTTGGAGCACTTGCGCCACGGGTGAAATTCTGAAAAACGTGCAGCACTTCTAGCCGACATCGACAAAAGTCACTCTCTAGCCCCGCGGCGAGCGGCCCCGCCGGAGGCGAAGAAAATTTTGCCATCTAGCGCACTCTAACACACATTTTTGCACAAATCGACGCCTCCAAAATAAGTCTTCACTGCAGCACGCCCTCCTCGAGCGAGTAATGCGTCTGTAGGCCAATATAGAGCGCTTCTCGCGCGCGCTCCTCAGCTGGCGGTCCGCAGGGCCGCCCGGGCGAGAAGCGCAAGCCCGCCAGCCGCACCATGTGATTCACGATGATGAGCGTCTCGGCCTCGAGCAGCGTGTAGGAGCGAAGCTTGCCCTCGCACTCGCGTTGCTCGAGCCTGAAGCCACTGCGCCTTGACCACGAGATAGCCCGCGGGGATGGTGTCGGTGTGTTGACGACCGTGTCCTCGGCCAGCGTGTGCGCCTTCCCCTTGAGCACCGCCAGCCAGTAGAGCACCTCGAGCGACTGCTCGCGCCGATCTCTGCGCGGCGACAGCGGCCTGGAAGGACACGTCTCCGGCCAAGTCGGTTACGGGGAGGGCTACTACGAGGTCTTTGCGCGGGGGTGGTCGGGCGCCAGGCGCCCAGTCGATTGCCGCATAGTTCGTCGTAGTAGCCCTATCATAAACTTCTTATTCACACCTTGCACTTTGAAAAAAGAAATATCCGACCTTTGTCGAAGATCCGGAGGGTTTATCAGAGCATCACCCCCACACGCCCCTCTCCGAATAAAATCCCCGCGCCCCGCCACCAGAGAGAGCACCTCACCGCCCGGGCTTTCGGCTCAGAGGCCTGCCGAGCCCGAACGAGAGCTTGGCGCGCGGCGCGGCCCCCGAGCGCGAGGCGCCCGTCGCGTTGCGCCCGAGCACGCGGTCTCGCTCGGCCTTCGCTGCTGCCTCCGCCGCGGCCCTGTCGGCCTCCGCCGAGGCCTCCGCAGCGAGCCTCGACTGCAGCTCGTGCAGCCGCGCCTCGGACTCGCGCCGCTTGGCCTCGACCACCACCGCCTCCCTCGCTCGCTGCGCCTCCGCCTCCTCCTGCTCCGCCGCCAGCCGCGACTCCTCCTCCGCCCGCCGCTGCCGCTCCGCCGCGGCGGCTGCCTCCGCCGCCGCAGCCTTGGCGGCCTCGAGCTGCGCCGGGAGCGACCCCTCGATTGCCGCGCGTGTGGCGGCGAGCTCCGCCGCCCAGGAGGGCGCCGCCATCGCTTGGGCAACGCGCTCGCGCACCGCCGCCTCGACGGCCTCGGAGAGGGCGGCCTTGACCGCCGCGTCGAGCAGCGCCTCCTCGATGTGAGCCGCCTTTGCCGCCCGCCGCGCCTCCTCCGCCACCGCCGCCTCCCGCCGCCGCGCAGTGATTTCCTCCTCGCGCCGCCGCCAATCCTCGGCGGGGTCGTTGGCCTCTGCCTCCTCCTCCTCCTCAGCCGCAACCGCCACCTCGCCGGCGGCAGCGCCATCTCTGGTGCGGGCCGCACCAGCGTTATCGCCGTCGGCGGAACGCTCATTGCTGCGACCTCGCCCTTCCCTGCCTCTCTCGTTGCTGCGAGATCGCCGTGTGTGCTGGCTTCGGCTGCGGCTTCGGCTGTGGCTGCGGCTTCGACTGCGGTGACGGTGGCGCCTGCGGTGACGGTGGCGGTGTTCGCCGTGATCTCGGCGCGAGTCCCAGCGGGAGATTTTGCCAGACGGCTCACGGCCACCCATATGGGTCGCCTCTGGTGCTCACGGCGCCGGCGCACGCGCGCACCCGCAGCACCAACCGCGCGCACCGGACGACCCCTACCCCCTACCCCCCCCAAAACCCTGACTCCACCCTACCCTACTACTACCCCCTAAAAACGGCCCGCGAGGTGGGGTGCTAGTATGAGCCCGACCCAGGTCGTAGTGTTCTTGCTCCAAGCGCGTGCGCTTCGGCGGTTAGTGGTGCACTAACCTCCGAGAACCCTTCGGGTCGCTCCTCATCGCAAACCCTGTCAGCAGAGTCCTCCCACGGGCCTGTACACGGAACTTATCGCTCTGAGATCCCATTGATGAGCATTGTTGCAGAATGCATGCATGCGGGAGGGGAGTCATAGCGAGCGACCCCATCGCTCCCCGCGTGTTATGGCCCTGCGACCGCGCACCCCCCAGGGGGTCAGGGCTCTCTTGCCCGCAGCCAGTCCCCGAGCATCCGGCCCGCTGTGGGTGCGCTTCTTTAGCCGCCAGTTTAGCTCTCCCCGGCCCCGGTTGTCCGAGGTTTACCATGAACCACGATCGTACTCCAAGTCTTGCATTTACCGCTCTCTTCCAACTCCCGCCACAAGGTCGTTTGTCCTTTCTGTGTCCTTTCACTTCTTCTTACATCTCTCTCCCAACACTCACGTACACTTGGAGCACCTTGGAGTGCGGTCACCGGTCAGTTAACCTCACATCCAGGGCCGGGGGAGCTAGATGAAGCGCACCCACAGGCACAGCGGGCCGGATGATCGGCATCGGGCTACGAGCAAAAAAGCCCTGACCCTTGTGGGATACGTGCGCATTCGCAGGGAGGGGGCCGTTAAAGTAAACAGGGTTTCCGAGGGTTGGTCTGCGCTTTGGGTTTACCCTAGCGGCGGAGCGCCCCCTCTACCCTTGGACCGTTGGAGCTATGTAAGGCGGCGAAGAAGGATGAGGCGGCGAGGGGGGAGGTGGTGAGGGAGGGGGCAGCGAGGGAGGAGGGGGCGGTGAGGGAGGAGGAGGTGGCGAGAGAGAGAGGGCGGCGAAGGAGGGGGTGGCGAGGGCAAGGGAGGTGGGGGTGAGGATTTTGACGCGCCCGCCGTCCCGGCGGTGGCCGTGGGGAGAGGCCGAGGCCGGGGTCGAGGAGGCCCAGCCGTGGCAGCAGTACCTGCTGTACCCGGGCCACCAGACCTGCTCTTCCTCACACACCTCCCGCTTCGCGCGCTCGAGGTGGACGGAGCGCTGCCTCTGCTCTCGTTCCCGCTGCTTTCTTTCTTTCTGGGGCCGACGGCTACAAGGGGGCGGCACGCCTGCCTCTGGCGGCTCCTGCACGGATCACATCCGGCCTTCTTCAAGGGGCCTATGCAGAGCTTCGGGACGGCGGCCGCCAACCCGGCGGTGCTCGCGCTCCAGGTCCCTCGTTTGCTCGAGGGCTCTTCGCTACCCGTCATCTTCCAGTCCACGGCCTCAGATCCGCAACCGCTACTTGGCCGCAACCGCTACTTGGAAGATGACGGGCCTGGAGAGCCGCAACCGCTACTTGGAACGCGGCGGAGCAGCTTGACGAGGCTCCTATCAGGCCGGTCACAACCTGCGACGGAGATCTCTTACCGTTGCTCTCGGAGTGGGAAAATCACCCGTGGGACAACTGCCAACCGGCTAAGCTGCCCAAGCCCAACCCGGCGCGGCGAGGCGGCCCCTCCGCCAGCCGCGACGGTCGCCATGGAGGTGAAGTGGCAGCAAATGGAGCGGAGGTGACATGCGCGTCTGGCCGAAAACGTCGCCATAAACAGCGGCGCGAGCGTCAGCGCTACCAGAGTGCATCATCATGAGCGATCGGGTAGGCTAGCGGCTACACAGCCCGGCTTGTGTCGATCGTCAACATCGTACTATCAACGGACGCACTCAAACTCCATCGTGTCTGGAGGCACTCAAACTCCGCCATCGTGTCTGGAGGCACTCAAACTCCGCCATCGTGTCTGGAGGCACTCAAACTCCATCGTGTCTGGAGGCACTCAAACTCCGCCATCGTGTCTGGAGGCACTCAAACTCTCCATCATCGTGTCTGGAGGCACCATCGTCACGCTGCGGTCGGGTGGCGGCTACACAGCCCGGCAGCGTGTCGATCACATCGGAAGCTCGCGGCACCGCATAGCGGACGCGCGAGGTACCGTCATCAACAGCGCTCAGCGGCGGGCGCAGCGAGGCAACTCGGCGCGTCTCTCAAGGGTGAGAACCTCTTATCACCATCGGCATCTGTCCGTCGTCATCTGCATAGCATCACGGCTGATCGGCCAGCGTCACGACATAATCGCCATCATCCTCATGGTCATGCCCAACTTGCGCGTAGGAATCCTAGGGAGGAGGAGGCTGCGCTGCGCAAGCACAGGCGGGAGGGGTTTCTCCTGCGGAGTCGTGCGTGCGCGGGGCTCCTCTTTGCGAATACTCCCTACATACATCTCGTACCCGTTCTACCAGAGAAGGTTGCTTCCCCCAGGATTAGTCTTCTCTACTGAGAACTGAGTGAGGGAGGGGACGAACTAAGGGCGGCTGGGCGGGGCTGCGCCTGCGGCCGGAGCTAGCATGGCTCGTCAGAGCCGAGACCCCGGCGAGGCGGCGCTCCGATGGGCGGCTACCTAGCCAGTCGCGAGGCAGTCTTTCTGTGACCCACCCACCTCTCCCTTGTGTTTTGTCTCTGGCGAGGTACTCCCACGCCTCTCGGGGTTTTTGTCTGGCCGAGTCAACATGATGGGGCGAGCCTCGGCGAGCTGCGTCAGCTGTTCCCACAGCAGGCGGGAAGTAGGAATTCTGATAATAAGGCAAAAAGATTGGTTGCGCCTTGCCGATCCGCACCTACCTAGGCTCTTGGGTGGCGCGCCCACTCTTCACAACGAACCTGGTTAGGAATTCCGCCGTCTGCGAGTTGAGCTTCGCCACCTTCGCCTTCCTCTCCCGCGCCGCCGCCGCCTCCCGGTCCTCGCGGCGGTCCGCCAGCGGGTTGTCACCGGCGTCAGCAGCCACGATCATGGCCGTGACGGCCTCGCCCGCCATGTCGATTCTCGGTCGATCGATCGCGCGTCCCAAAAGTCGCCAAAAGTGGCGGCGAGTCGCAATCACCCGCCCGCCGTCCCGGCGGTCCCGCAGCTCGCGCGCATCTCCCTCTTAACCCACCTCTAACATCACAATAGGGAATTCCTACCACGCCAGGTTTTGTCTGGGGTTTGTGACGTTCGCCAGTCGCGCTCCGCACGTCTCCGATCGCTGGGCGCGGTCACTCTCCGGCCCGTCACCCGCCTGCCGATCACCTGTCCGCCTCGCCGCGCGCGGGCCGCTCGCCTGCTCGCCACCGCCGCAGCGCTTCCCCGCGCCGCCACGCTTCCCTGTGCACCTGACTGCGCTGCGCAGACGGCGCGCTCTGGCACAGAGCAGCGGCCGCCCAGGCGGTCGCTGCTCCGCCCCGTCCGAATCCGTCCGCCCGCGCGTGCTGCTGCCGCCGCCGCCGCCGCTCCACCCGATCCCCGTGTGTCGTGAGAGTAAAATGCTTTGTGTATGGCAGGCACCCGTGTCGCATGTTATGTGTGTGGACTTGTCGCACTTGAGCCTCTATGATTAGTAGACCGTCTGCGCAGCGCTCTCGGAGAGGCGCTTTGTACTCGGGTTTGGATGGTAGCGCGGGGCGGGGCGCCCCGCCGGAGGCTGGTTACTCTTACTGATGGTGATGCCGTTACGCGTATAAGCAATATTAAAAGGTCTGCGGGAGGCCCAGGGTGCCAGGGCAGCCAATTCGAGCTAGAGAGAAGCCCCGGGAGAAACACCGTCCACACGGCAATCTCCCACATCACGCCACCCTGCCCAACGCTCAACGCACCCTCCCTCTTCTCAGCCACCTCTCTTGCCACACCCACGCCCCTGTCTGCAATCACGTCCCACAGAACTCACCTCTAGACGACGAGAGACCCGCCACGCCGCAACCGACTTCACACACGCGCGATATAGAGAAAACGCCCTCCGCAGCCGAAGCTCTTCGAGCCCTCGCCCCGAGACACGGCGGGCACCCGCCTGGCCTCGCCCCGCCTTCGCCCCCGGTGCTGCGGGGCTGGCGCGCTACGGCTCGTGCGTCGCCATCTTGGCGTCGGCCTTGGAGTGTGGCTGCGGCTTGAGCGCCTTGCGCCAGCTGGCCCTCAGCACCTGCGGCGGCGGGCACGCCGTGCTGTCTTCTAGCCGCGAAGGGGAAGGGGAGAGGCAGAGGCAGAGGGCGAAAGAGGGAGAGGGGGGGAGAGGGCGAGAGAAAGGCGGTGGGGCGGGAGGAGAGCCGGCGGCTGCGTCGCCTCCCACAACATCTTCCCGACGCCGGCCTGCAGCGCCCTCACCTCGTCCTGCAGCTCGCACCTGGGGGGAGGGGCAGGGCGGGGGCGGCCTCAGTGGGCAGGGCCTTCCCCCTCCCTCCCTCCCCCCCCCTCCCCCTCCCTGGTTCCCCCCCCCCCCTCCCCCCCTCCCCCTCCCCCTCCCGGCTGCCCGCTCCCCGCGCACTTGCGCGTCTCGACGGCGCTGCCGCGGGCGCTGTTGGCGGCGATCCGCTGCGCTGCCGCCTCGACGGCCGCTTGAGCCTTTTCGAGCTCGTCCTGAAGCACGACCTGCGGGGAGGATTGATGAGACTCGTGATGCATGCCCGCCCCCCCCCCGCCCCCTTCCCTCGAGCTGTCGCGCAGCAGCGCCTCCTCGGCGGCGATGGCGGCGAGGGCGTCGTCCTGCGCGGCGAGCTCCTCCTGCGCCTGGAAGAGGTTGTGCCGCAGCAGCTGCCTGCGGGGCGAGCCGCGGGGCGGGGTGGGCAGCCCCGCTCCAGCAGCCCTTCTCCAAGAGCCCTTCTCCAAGAGCCCTTCTCTAAGAGCCCTTCTCCAGCAGCGGGGCGGGGTGGGGGTGGGGTGAGGATGCGTGGCGGCGGGCGCCTCTCGCGGAAGCGGGACACGGCGGCGAGCTGGGAGAGCGGCTCGGTGACGACCTGGGGTTAGGGTCAGGGTGGGTTAGGGTTAGGGCTGGGTCGGGTGAGCTGAGGAGGGGTCTCGGGGACGACCTTTGGGGGGGCGAGGGACGTGTGGGGAGGAGAGGAGGGGGACGTGTGGAGGGGAGCAGGGCCGGGCACGACGCGCCTCGCACGCGACGACCGTGTTTGAAAACATCGAGTTGTTGTTGTCGAGCGTCACGACGAGCATTCCCCCCACCCCGCCAGGCACCTGGATCTCGCCGTCGTGCTGCGCTGCGCGCGCCGTCGCCTGCGGCTTCATG